TTGCATTCATTACAAAGGTGGATGATTGAATCCAGCCACCTTGCTTGCTGGTTGTCTTCTCTTTCCTTTTACTTTTCACAGCATTGGACTTCTCCAGAAAGCTAAGTCTTTACATAATGTCTCCAAATTACAGTAATTTAAGCATAATCATTTGTGCCCTAAGTAATAATTCCAAGTTTTGTTCAATGATCCGTTTATTTTCTTGACTACTCATTCTGATCTTTGTAGGTATAGACACATTGCAGCATCTGAAAATATTTTCTAGGGCATGGATGTCAAACTCACTATGTCATGTTTTTGTCATGTGACATATCAATTTTTTCCCTTTGCAGAGCTAGGGTGGGCATGGCCTGCATATGAAGCTTCCGGCCCATGGGCCGCTAGTTTGGCACCCCTGTTCTGGGATCTACAGATCTACTCTACCAAGTGCCAGTCTGCAGTGTATTACTTGTCTGCCTGTTTCTTATTATTGACAGTTGATCCTATAAAAGGCAGAACCTATCCACTTTGATATCTTGTCATGCTAAGGCTGGTTTTGGTACCTTTAACTTAGTTTTAATTCCATTTTATTTTTACTGCATTCCTTGACTTTTATCACTGGAACTTGTAAATTCTTTACATGTTTGGGTATCAGTATAGTGCCATCAGCATAGCAAGGTTATTGATGTTTCTTCTTCCAATGTATTATGCTATCTCTTCCAAACAACCTTCTGTGTGGGTGGTGGTATTCAGTATATAGATTGATTGAACATATATACAGTATTTAGCATTTAGGTTGAATAAATGTGAGTTAGATGACCATTAGTTTGTTAGCATGTGAAATGAAGGACATCAATGATGGTTTGCACACTATATTGTTTCCTTTCTTTGGTGTGTAGAGTAGCCTCTTCCAATCTGTTGGCCACACTGTCATTCTCCAGATTTCTTGGCATAGCCTGGTCACTTGATTACTTTATTAATTCTTCTGTTGTTTCTTATATTTTGTGCAAATATTACATCAATTCTTGTAGCCTTCTGATTTGGTAATAATTGGAGTGTTTGCTAACTTCATCTTTTAGTACTAAAAGTTCTTTTAGATAAGGAATATATTACGCATATTTTGGATCCTATACAGTATTTTGGTATAATCCTTCAATCTTTCTTTGATCTTTGAATTAGTTACTGTCCATTGGCATTCTTTAACGTATTAATTTGAATTTGGAATCTCCTTCTGAATAGAGAGATCTTGTGAAAAATTTCCTTGTTTTTCCAAGTCTGTTTCCATCTTTAGTGCCCTTACAGTTATCATTATAATGCTGTTTCTTATCTCTTCTAACAGCTCTCTGTACTTCTTTATTAAGTTTTCTCTGTCTTGGCTTTGACTTCTCATCTCTTCTTTTCATGGATTGTGATGATACCCAGTTTGCTTTTTTCTATTTATTGATCTTTTCAAATATCTTTGTATATTAATCCTTAATAGCTTCTTTAAATTCATTCCATTATTCTAACCATTCTTCTAGTTTTTATCAGTGACATTCAGGAAAATTTTGTTAAAGTGGTGGGCAAATATGCTATAAAATGTTATATTGTGGAAATTGGTTGACATTCTTTGTGTTTTAGCTTAACTTGGAAGCTGCACATGAGCAGATAGTAATCTGTCAGTTAGGCCTTGGCCATGGCTTGCTGTTATAACTGAGCACTTCCATCTCCTTTTACCAAAAATGTACTTGGATTATTTTTGTATACCATCTGGTGATATATAAAATACAGAGATAGATTAGTTGTTATTTTGCATTAGTTGTTGTTTTGATACAAAAAGATACGGGTTTTATTTCAAACATCCAAACATTTATTCCCTCAGGTACATTTACAGTTTAGATTTCTCAAATATAGTAGAAGTATCTAGTCATACTGAGATTTAAAATATGTTTGTTGATTCAACTGTTGTGAATTATGGAGACAAAATTCTACTTTAAGTCTAGAAAAACCCTTAAAATATTAGTTACAAAGTACTTGATTTTAAAAATTTATTTCAAGTTGTACCTGCAATTTCCAATATGACTTTTTGCCCCTTACTTTTATAATACTTTCCCCATAAAATTAAATGTTCATTAGTCTCAACATCAAAACCCAATCTATGACCCACAAGACTCAAACATGTCTAGTTGCTCTTAATCCGAGAAGGGAATGCCTTGTCTATTATGTTAGTGATCCTAGCAATCACCACGTCCTTAATGAAAATACATAACAAGCTTTCCAACAGAATCCACAAATATTCATTCAGCACACATGTAGTTGCTGAAATATAAGCCTAATGATATTTTTGGAAATCTGGTAAATTAAAACCACCATCCTTAATAGATTATCTCTGTTTAGCTACTGAAATCCTAGATGAACTTCTTTCCCAAATAAATTCCTTATTTTCCTCAATATCATATCTATCTCAAATATTTATGCAGCACAAACACTGGAATACATCTTAATACATTCAGTAGATTAAACTTGAAGCATCATTCTACTCCCATCAATTTAGCAGAATTTTAATACCTCCATTATCTAAGGAATTAAGCATCTAAGGCTTGTAACATACCTAATTGTAACATACTTAACTGTAACATACTCGTAACATACTTAATTGTTTAGGAATATAAAGTCCTAGATGCTTAGTATGGATTTTGGTGGGTTTATTTTTCCTCATTTGGAAATATGCTGATTGGTGTTCGTTGAAATAATGTCTAAGGTGGGGGTAGAGTGACTCTACTGACACTGTGGTTACTGGATGTTAGGCGTATTAAATGGTTCTCAATTCCCCAGCAATTCAAAATCACGACCAGCTTTTTTTTTCAGCAGCTGTTTCTCCTGAAGCAGTGTTTCTCAAAGTGTGATCTAAAGAATCCTGGGGGTACGCCAACACTCTTTCAGGGGTCCATGAAATCAAAATGATTTGTCAGTCTGTGTTAAAAAATAATACAGCATTAAAATTCTATCAAAAAATTATGAGAAGCAGTAGTGACAGCAAATGTGTCAGCTTTAATTTTCAATACAGTAAATATAGCAGAGAGAGTTCTTGATTTACAACCCTTTGTTTAGCGATCGTTTGAAGTTACAACGGCACTGAAAGTAATTTATGATCAGTTCTTGCATATATGACTGGCAGCAGCCCCATGATCACATGATCAAAATTTGGGCAGCTGGCAAATGGCGTGTATGTATGACAGTTGCAGCATTATGGGATCATGGGATTGCCATTTGTGACTTTCCCAGCCAGCTTCCAACAAGCAAAGTCAATGCGGGAAACTCGATTCACTTGATGGCCATGTGATTCATTTAACAACTGCAATGATTCATTTCACAACCATGGTGACAAAAATTGTGTGATTCACTTAACAACCACCTTGCTTAGCAACAGAAATTCCAGTCCTAATTGTGGTTGTAAGTGGAGGACTACCTATATAACCCAAAGAAAAGCTGTTTTGGGTTTCTCCATAATATTTTAAAAATGGGAAGTATTATACATGGTGGAAGAGAAGTTAAGGAGCTTTCATAGTAAAAAAAATAATTTCCATTATTGTGTCCTTGCTAAAATGGGAAAAAGATAAGATGGTCAAAAGTATTAGAGGAGAAATAATTATTTTGAAATAACCATCATTCTGTTTTCAAGAAAGATTATTCCAACCAGTTCTGATTCAGGTTTTCAGAAATAGTGACATTTACAGCAGTATTAATAAAGTATAAATCTGCTCTTTTTGTAGGCATGGAGATCGATCTATAATGGCTTCATCTTGCTGGTGAAACCCCATTTTCATATTATTGTTATTAACAAAAGGCAGATTGCTTAACTATCCTAAACTATCATATCTTGAATTTCTGCATATTTCTACTTCTTTTTGTCTATGTGAATGTGTGTTGAAAATATATTGACATCCTGATAACAATCATTAAAGAAGAAAATATGTGGGGGAAACTGCTAATGCCATCTTTGCCGCAATCTGCTTCTAATTTTGGAGACAGAATGTGGAAGTTGTTTTGGCTGAAGGCATCCTCAGTTCTTCTCCTGATATATTGTCATTAAAACACAGACCTCACTATTTGGGAGGCCTGAGATTTTTCACTATAAACATATTGGTTGATTTGACTCAATGTAGCACACTGGGTAAATTAAGGCCATTTCTTTTAGCAATCAGGCTGCACTTTTTAATATTTACATGAAACTTCTGGGACCAAGAGCTAATTCATCAAGATATATCAGTAGAGTGATGATACCCAATTGAATTTTTTACCCCAGGCTGGGTAGAACGTTGTCAATGGCTTAATTTAATGTCTTAAAGTTGATAGGGTTGGATGAATGAAACAGGTTAAATCCAAGATCGATGAAATGATTTGTCATTAAACTGCCATTGGGCCATTGTACCTAAGGACAACATATAGTACGATGCTGAAAGCTGAGGCAATTCTGCCTCCCAACATCTGACATCCGAACCTCCCTGACATTGGCACAACCATGATCTAGATGACTGAGAATCTATATACATACACACACACACACAGAGAGAGAGAGAGAGAGAGAGAGAGAGACGTCTGTGTGCTATCCCAACAGCCTGCTTCTCTGCTCAAAATGAAATCACAGAGGTGGAAAAAGCCACTTGTTTTAAGGCACCTGTTCACTGCAATTTTAAAAAGAGGATCCTGGGGAGAAAAGCTCACACTGAATGAACCTCAGCTTCGATTCTTTGAAGATCACTGCTAGATTCAATATCAATCGAGGTGAATATGGCATTCCCAATTTTTCCCCTGCGGCTGAGAACTTCCTCGTTTTTGGCAGGCTAGGGTTTTTGGCTGGCTATAAGCATCCGTTGGCCTATTTTGGCAACACCGTCCGTCGAAATCAGAGCCACGCCGATACGTTTTCCCGCTCTACCAGGTGGGAACCCCCCCTCCCCCCAGCGACGAGGCGAGCCGGCCGGAGGGTGGCGTGAGGCGAAGAGGGGGCGGGCTGAGCACGGCGCCTGCGCGTCGCAAAGGGACGGGTAGGAGCGCTTCGGAGTAGCTTCGCGGAAGGGCGGGAGCTCGGTTTGTTGAGGTGGCGGGTCGGTTGGGAGCGTGGTTCGGCGCGAGGCATGGCGGAGGCGGCTCTGCCAAACTCAGGTAAGACCTCCGGGGACTTGGAAGAAGAGAGGAAGAGGGGGGGGTCACCCCGGGACAACCCCGATTGGGGAGAGTGGAACAAGAGCCTGAGATGACTGAGCCAGACCCGACCCGACCCAACCGTGGAGGCCGAGCTTTTCGTCCCGTTCCCGGAAGGGGGGAAAAAGCCGGAGACTTTGGCTTCTCGGGCACCACCTCTGCCAACGGTACCATTCCACTCTTGGTCCCTTCTCGGCAAAACTGAGGTCCCCCCTTCACCCCCCCACCCCGAGGCCTGGAGGAGACGGGAATGTTCCGCTTGTAACGACCGCCAGAGCAACTTCTTGCCTCCCTTGACTGCAGACTGCAGTGGGATTTAACAGAGCAAGAACGGCTTCTCTGTTTATTGTAGGTCCTTCTTCTCCTACTCGCCTGTCTGGATCAGGTGCTATATAGCAGCTCTTAACATTAAAATTACCAAGGTGATTAAATGGCATATAATTCCAGGTGAGAGACACCGGGAATGTGTCGTGAGAAGCAGAAGCGGGGGGGTGGGGGGAGAGGAATGAATATTCATTCCAGCCGTGCTTTGCTGCTGCAGTGCATCTTGCATCAACAGATGTGACGCTCATATAAAAGGGGGCATCCTGACTATCCAGTCCAGATCGTTGCCAGTGGGACAGAAAAACATCAAGACCGGAATGCTTTTAAAAAACTTCAGAATACCGACTCAAAGGGTCACCCTAAGGAATTAGGCTTATTTCCAATTGCATGGCATTATATTGAGAGGCTGTTTGATTTTATTCGTATGTGCACCAGAGACTGCAATTTGGAAAGATGAAGACTGTAGAAGCTGTTAAATGTTATTTCCGAACAGCAGTGGCTTAGCTCTGAAAACATACTCTCCTCCTTTTCTGGAGTCAAGCACGGTGATCGTTTGAAATGAAATGTATAATTATTTCAGATTTATTTTCTTTAAAAATAGTACCCTGGGTTTAAGAAATGTTTTCTTTTAAAATTTAGCTTTATGCATTAATATTTTCAGAGTAGTTGCCAGGTAGGAACTACTAATTGTGATTAAAAAATACTTGCTTTCCTAAAATAACAGCAGGATGTTCATAGAGAGTTTAATACTGAGCTACAGCTTAAAAAACAAATTAGATATGATATTTAAAGATAACCTGTTTACAAAATGTAACCATTTTATAACATACAACAGTATTATTAATGAATATGATCACTATACTGCTTTTTAAAATAGTGCTGTTGTAATTGCTGTGTCTTACTGTTTGAGAAAGTGGTAATATCATGGTGTAAGGAAACAACTGTCTTTGATAATAAATGCATTGGCTCACAAGAATAGTTTTCTAAAAGTGATGAATAGCTTCTATGTTATTTACCCCTATTGATTAAAATGTCTTCCCTGAATAGTGATATGCTTGTTTCATAGTATATGTTTTCCTTTTTCTTAGGTGTCTTAAATCCAGATGCAACTGATTTTGTTCCAAGAGAAAGACAGATTTTCAATTCAAGTTGGAGCAATCAGTCCAGGCTGGAATTTGATAGTGATTCAAGCAGAAATTCTTTACCTTCTTCTGTTCAACCTAGGCATAGCAAATGTGTAGATTCAGTTACAGATCATAATACTTTCTATAGCCCAGAAAGCCAGCATGGATGTCAGTCAGAGTCTTCACGATTTCACAGTATTGGTAAAACGAAAAGCAATAGCTTACATAGTCAACGGTGGCAAAGATCAAGGAATGATCGAACACATGGGAAAAATCAAATGAAGCAAATACCTGCAGGGAGCACAGAGGATTCTCGGTGTTTAGACACTAGATTAGGGCGTAGGATGAATCATAGAGAATACAGTGATTTCTCTTCAGACAGTGAGAAAGAAGCTGCTACTGCAAATAACAGAGGAGCAAAGCCGAAGAAGACATATTTGATGCATTCACGTGGAAGAGGATTGAAAGAAAAAGAGAAACATTCATCTGAAAGGGAAAAAAGAATATCCACTAAGTGGAAAGAAAAGGCTTTTGAAAATATTCCAGCAGCAGATTTGACCCAATCCGATTCATCTGAAACATCTGTTGGAAAAGCAGTATCTGATGGCTTTTCTGACAATAGCATTGCAAGAAGAAAATATCCTTTTGCAAACAGGCATTTTAGGGAACCTGCATGGAATAAAGAAATTGGCAAAAAACAAGATACATCCAGAAGTAAAAATGCAAAACATGTTAAGAATGCATCTCTTCCACATCCTCCCAGAGAACGCACCAGTGAGAAGAGGAAAGAATCTGTGCTACAAGAAAGAGGTCCAAACTTGGTGAGTGTGGCAGAGAAACAGCCGTTTTGTAAGGCAACTACACGTGATGAGAGGAAACCACTTCTTCAAGAAGGATATAAAAACAGACGCTGGAAAAAGCAAAACGAAGCACCAAAGAGCAAAGAAACTCATACAGGTAAATTTAGAAACTCTTAATACAGTAGATTTATTACTGTAGCCAAGTCATATACCAGTAGCAGAAAGATATTTTAGTAAAAAGCTTATGATACATAATTTGTGATTGTGATGTTGCGATATGAAGCCATTGATAAAGAAGCAAAAACATGGTTCTGGTACTATTGTGTAGCAATAGAAACTGCCATCTCTTAATAAGCATGCTTTTATTTCTCTCTTTTCCCCCATTCCCATGCCCCTATTTTTACAGAGCAATTCCAAATTATTATAGCAGTTAGAGAAATCATGTTCACAGCTCTTCTTCCTATTGAATAATGTTGCTGATTAGTTTTTTATACAGTTCAGGTTTTGAACTGAATGTGATAGTTTATTTGCTTTCCATCTAGAGCAGGGATCCCCAACCTTTTCGACGCCGCGGCCCGGTTCCGGCGTCAGCTGGGCGCCGCGGCCCGGTTCCGGCGTCAGCTGGGCGCCGCCATCTTTTTTTGACGAAAAATCACTTCCGGTGACGTCACCGGAAGTGATTTTTCGTCAAAAAAATTGGCGGCGCCCAGCAACCAGCGGCCCGGTAAGGCTTGTTCCGCGGACCGGTACCGGTCCGCGGACCGGCAGTTGGGGACCCCTGATCTAGAGCACTAGTTGGAAAGCCTTAAGAATGTGTCCTAGAGAACAGTGTAGTTGTTGGAGATTTATCAGGAGTTCTTCATAATGTCTAAAGTTTCAAGCTTGTAAAGATCTTTGGGTGCATAGTGCAAGACCCTCTATGTTCATATAAGGCTATAGGTGAATCCTAAGAGTTAATCTTTGTCTTTGGGACATGTGGAACATGTCCCAAATTTTCTTCAGCTCACAAGCATGTGAAGTTCCACAGCAACTGAGGCAATGACATAGTTCAGGGGTCCCCAACCACCGGTCCGCGGACCGGTCCCGGTCCGTGGAGCACTCTGTACCGGGCCGCAAAGGAAAAAAAAAAAAAAATGGCAGCTTTCTTCGCCTTCGGTGAATGCTGCTGGGATCGGGGATCAAGGACACAAATGAGAGAAGGGGAGGGAGGAAGCAACCGAAGCCTGTCCTGCTCTCTGGCTCAGTGGCTTCGGCTTCCTCCCGCCTCATTCCTCTCTCAGTCGCTCTCTCGCTCCTCCACCAGCCCAGGAAGAAACTGCTTCAAAGAAGCCGGGGGGTGGTGGCTTTTCCTGTCGGCGCAGCTCCTCCGAAGCGCCCGTTTCACCCCCACCCCGCCGCCAATCAATCCAGGTTCAATCCAGTCCTCCGTCCTGCCTGCCTTGGTTTCTGGTAGTTTCGGAGCAGCTTCGGCTGAGAATAATAACTATTCGCCTCTTTTTCTCAGCCGAAGCTGCTCCGAAACTACCAGAAACCAAGGCAGGCAGGCAGAACGGAGCAC